CTCTCTCTGTGTGTGTGTGTGTGTGTGTGTGTGTGTGTGTGTGTGTCTGGTCGAAATAAAATAAGTAAATGAATAAATAAAATTTTTAAATTTTTTTTTTAATTTTTAGAAATAAAAATAAAAAAAGACAAGGAGCATCGAACCCTGCTACCAACTCATTCCCTTTCTCTGTCTGGTTAAAGTGGACTTCACCTGCAGAGTGCACACATTTAGGTTTCTGACCTCTCCCATTGCCTTCCACGGGTGCAGTGGCCCAGGCTTAGGACTGGGAGTTGGAAGGCACAGCTTCTGCCTCACGTTCAATTGCAACACTGAGGCTGCTTCAGCTGCAAGAATCAGATACCCAGGTCAAGGGGCCTTATGAATTCATCCTTTCTTAGCTCCAGAACAAGAAATCCAGCAGTAAATGAGGTGCGGACCGGCCTAGGGCACAGTGAGGTCATCAAAGGCCAGAGACTTTTCATCTCTCTGCCCTGCCAGCCTCAGTGTGATGGTAGTGTCAATTGCCTCTGGTCTCGCCCGCATTCTCTGCGCTGCCCGTATTTCAGGGAACTTCCATCCCCAGGATTCTAGGGAGGTCTGCCAACAGGAGGCACTGATGGAGGACTGGAGGCCAGACAAGGGGTGGAGGCTGAAGTGGGGGCATTTCGCTCCTGTCTCTGACAGTGATCAAGCCTCTACTGTACTGTGGGCTTGAACTCACACCAGATAACCATGCCCCCAAACTCTACACTCCCCAGAGGTTCTTGACTATGATTTTAGACCTCAAATCCAGATTCTGGGCTCTCATTCCTCCATCCTGTGCCCCTCCAGTCCTAAGAATGTTAACAACGTCCTGCAGTTGTTAACCTCTTGAAGGAGTGTGGCCCTCATCACTTCCTTTGGCTTGTCAGCTCTTCTATTATCTATGGAAGTAATCCTTGCATTAATTTCCTGTCTTAAACACCTGGAATAGCTTATGTTTCACAGCTGGATCCCACTACTACAATGGTCATCCGCAAGCTGTGTTCACATGGCTGTGAGAGAGCTGCCAGTGCTCCAGTCATCATGTCCTCACCCCAGCCACATCAAAAGCCAAGAAGAAAGGCAGTTTCTCCTTGCTTGCTTTATATTGCCGAGGTAAACATTTCCCAGGACTGGACAGAACTGGGTCAATGCCCATGCTCTAGCTTTAGGAGAAGTCAGGAAAGTGAGTATCTGGCATTTTTAGTCCCTATAGTGTGAGATGGACTCTTCAAGCAAAAAAAAAAAGGAGTTGGGCAATGGCTGCTGCGTGAGCACCCAATCATGTCCTCCACATTGACCTTGAGTGTGACCTTGGTTGAGTTACCTCCTTTCCCTGGACCTCAGCTTCCTGATCTACAAAATGGGTGTTTTTGGTGAGATCCGTGGTTTTGAACTATTCTTCAAAGCTGTCATGTTCAAAGGAGGTGCCTTAGGGGCCACTGTAGGGTCACCGTGGGGAGAAGGGGAGTAGAGTCTGAGCAGGTGATCCTGCTCCAACTTCAATAGGAACACTTTTGTTTGATCTTTTTGGAGATAAAACCAGTCTGCTGGATTTGCTGATTTTTCATATCCCTTGCAGCTCTCTCAAGGATCCAGATTCGAAGTTATAGATCAATTTATAAAAATGAGGAAATAACCAGGATGATGTTCTTGCTAAGAATGATCCATTCGCTTTAAGGGTTATTCATAATAAACTTCAGAGATTGATTAAGCTCCTTGGCTTTTTGCCGACTACTAGCAAATCTGTGTTAGATGCACAGACTCTGGCACGGAGCAGAAGACATTCTTCCTGAAAATGTCTTGACTCCCTCTGTTCTCTTCAATTATGAGAAGGCAAACCCTTTACATATATACAATTATTTTAAACTATTTATCTTGCACAGAGGAATTGATCTTCACAGGTCTCTCTTGCCTGTCTTGACACTGATGAATCGCTTTGAAGATAGTCTCAGAAAGAGAAGACATGGCCCCTAATGGATGGCTCTTCTCATCTTAATTTTTACCCTGGAGGGTCTTCTCCATCTTGAGTCTCCCTTATTTCGCTTTGTAGCCTTAACTCCATAGGTGCCACGCCAGGTGTGATAGTAGTTTTAGATGTCAACTCCACTGAAAACGTGAGAGAGCCTAATTCTGGGTGTGTTTATAGGGATCTTTCCGGAAGAGAGTAACATGAGAGTCTGAGTAAATCAGGTATGGAAGATCCACCGTCACCATGGCTGGGCATCATCCCATCAATCAGGAGCCTAGAAAGAACAAATACAGAAAATGAACAGGGTCTCTTTTGAGAGCACAGGATAGACTTCTCCTGTTGCCTTGGACATCAGAACTCAATGTTCACCTGCCTTCAGACTCTCGGATTCATCCCAGAGACCCCAGAGTTCTCAAGCTCTCTACCTTGGACTGTGAGCCACGTGCTCGGCTTCCCTGCCTCTGTGGCCTTTGGGCTGGGACTGAGCCAAGCTCTGGTATCCCGGGATCTCCAGCCTGCAGATGGCCTGTGGCAGAGCTTCTCAGCTGCCATAATCGCAGGAGATGAGTCCCTCCATCCGTCACCTCCTGTGTTTGTACATATCCGAGTGTTTCTGCTTCCCTAGAGGACCCTGATTAGTATGCCAGGGATAGCACCCACTTTGTTTCTCTTGTCTGAAGGCTTTTTTTGGATCAAAGGTTCAAAGGCAGAGACTGAGGAAACAATGAAGCCTTAAGAAACTCCTGTGCCTCTGCCAAGGCTCAATCCTGCACTGAGAATAACAGAAACTATCTGATAGGTATCTTCAAGGAATATTTCATAAACACCTCCTCCATGACCCACACAGTCAAAAACCAATTCTAACCTTTTCAATTTGGTAACTTTTCACACCCTTTTCCTTAGTTCTGTGGCCAACTCGAAGCTGTTCTGTTCTGTTCTGTTAGCATCATGTACTCTGTCTGGCATAAATCAGACAAGGCAGGCAAAGTCATCCCCGTTCCACAGATGAATAAACTGAGGTCCAAAGAGGCTAGCAGATTAAATGTCTCACCTACAGTCTTAGGGAATAAGTGACAAGGTCAGCACTTGAACTTAGCTCCGATGATTGCACCTCCAATGCCCACACGACAGACCGAACCACAGAGTATATTACGTGCTCAGCAGATACCTCTTGTCTTCCTCTCCATCCCTTCCTCTGAGTTCTCTCTATGCATTAAGTTTGGACGAAACAAGTGGGTCCAGTCTTCTTGCTGAAATCACAAGATTTTCTGGAGCCTGTGTTACAGGCCAGCTTTTCTGTATCAATTGCTCACGTAAAATTGGAATAGTCTCTTGATGAAATGTTCAAATTATACAGATAAAATAATACAAATCTGAGCCAGTCGGTGGCATGGCGATTAAAGCACTGCATCCCATGTGACTGATTTTGGAGTCTGAGTCCAAGGCCTCGTGGCTTAAATAAAACACCAGGTGTGTGTGTGCAGATCCGCCCAAAAGCCCAAGAGGAGAATGGAGAAAAAGGAATTACGATGTAGCCATCCTTCTGAGGGGCGGGGATTTCTCATTTTTTTCACCTCTTTTTCTCTGTCTCTCTCCATTGAGTGCACACACCCTACAGCAAAAACCTTAAAAAAATAATAATAACACAGGGGCCAACAGGTGGCATGGTGGTTAAAGGAATGGACTCCCTCATGGCAGACCATGGCTTGAGTCCCAGACTCAGCAGCTTGAAAATCACAGTGGCTGCATGTCATGTGTACCCTAAATTCCAGGAGGAGAATGGAGAAGAAGAGATCGTGGCGTGGCCATCCCCCCTAGGGGGTGATTTCTTACTTTCCCCTCTCACTGTCTCTCTGTCTCTCTCTGGTGAGCACAAAAACCTTTTATTTTTTAACTTCATTTATTTATTTATTTATTTATCTATTTATCTATTTATTTTTACTTTTAATTTGACCAGAGAGGGACAGAGCTAAAGAAGAGAGAGAGAGAGAGGGAAAGTTGAGAAAGCAAGCTGCCAGGTACAGGACTCAAACCATAGTCGGCCATGTAAAAGTCCAGCACCCCTAAGCACCACACCACCTGCCAGACCTTCATGGCAAAAACTTCAAAAAAGAAAAAAATAATAATAATTTTGCCTCCAATTCCAGGCTTCTCCCTAAAGTAACTACTGGCATGTGTACAGTGTGAATGTTTTCAAATTTATTTCTATGCATTTATGAATACAAGCATGTAAGATATTACATAAAGAAATACATAGTTAAGGGTTTCGTTTTTTGCTTTGTTTTGTTTTGTTTTTTAATCTGCTGGGCTTTTATTGATGCAAATGGTATCGCGTGGTACATAATTGCTGCAGCTTGCTTTGCCGAATGTTCCAAATCGCTATGTACATATCGGCCTCATTTGTCTTTTTACTAAAGCTTAGTAGTCCAATACTTAGTACAGACTTGTTGGTTTGTTTAGCTAGTCCCTCACTGTTGGGCTTTTACCAATATTTCACTGCTAAAAGCAGTACGGAAATGAGCATCCTCAGCTTCTTATGCATAAACAAGTATTTCTCCAGAGGAAAAAAAAGTTTTTCCGTAGGAAATAAAAAACTATAGGGCCCGTCAGATGGCGTAGCAGTTGCATCACTGGACTCCCACATGGCTGAGCGCGGTTTGTATCCCAGACTCAGTGGCTTGAAAATCACGCCCAGCATGTGTGTGTGGGCGCCCAAGGTCCCAGAGGAGAATGGAGGAGAAGGGATTGCAGCGTGGCCATCCTCCTGGGGGGCTGGGGGGATGATTTCTCACTTTCCCTCACACTATCTATGCCTCTCTCTTGCCAGCAAGGGCATGCACCCTAAGAAGAAAACCTCTAAAAAGAAAAAAAAAAAACAAAAAAGAAAGAAAGAAAGAAAAGAAAGAAAGAAAGAAAGAAAGAAAGAAAGAAAGAAAGAAAGAAAGAAACTATAAGGTAAGTTCAAAGAGAAATGGACTAAGAGAACATTTTTGCAACATATGACAGAGAAGGCATTAATAATCAGATTATATAAAGAAATGCTTCGGGAACCAGCAGTTAGCGTAATGGCTATGTCGCTGGACTCCCATGTAGTTGACTGCGGTTCATGTCCCGGACCTGGTGACTTAAAACTCACGCCGGGCGCGTGTGTGTGCGTGCCCAAGATCCCGAGAGGAGAATGGAGGAGAAGGGATTGCGGCGTGACCATCCCCCCTGGGGGGTGATTTCTCGCTTTCTGTCTCTATGTCTCTCTCTGTCTGTCTGGCGAGTGCACGCGCCCTATAGTGAAAACCTCTCCAAAAAAAAAAAGAAATGCTTCAATTTGATAATAAAAAGACAAACAACCCCTTAGAAAACTGGCAGAAAATATAACCAGGCAATTTACAAAAGAAATACATATGGCCAATAAGCATATGAAAAGTTGCCGCACCCCATTGATAATCAGGAAAAAGTGAATTAAAGCAACCAGAAAATACATTTTTTTTTTTGAGATTTTTGCTATAGGGCACCTGTGTTCACCAGAGAGACAAAGAGAGATAGAGAGACAGAAAGCAAGGAATCACCTCCTAGAGGGGATAGACACACCTCAATCCCTTCTCCTTCATTCTTGGGATTTTTTTTTTTTTTTTTTTTGAGAGTTTTTTTTTTTTTTTTTTCGCTATAGGGCGCGTGCGCTCGCCAGACAGACAGAGAGAGACATAGAGACAGAAAGCGAGAAATCACCCCCCAGGGGGGATGGTCACGCCGCAATCCCTTCTCCTCCATTCTCCTCTCGGGATCTTGGGCACGTACGCACACGTGCCCGGCGTGAGTTTTAAGCCACCGGGTCCGGGACACGAACCGCGGTCGACTACGTGGGAGTCCAGCGACATAGCCATTACGCTAACTGCTGGTTCCCCATTCTTGGGATTTTGAACATGTGTGCACACACTCCAGTGTGAGTTTCAAGCCACCTGGTCCAGGACTCAAACTGCGGTCAACTATGTGGGAGTCCAACACCTTAACCACCGCGCCACCTGCTGGCCCTAAAGACACCTCTTTTACTTACCATATCGGCCCAAATTGCTAGTTTAATACTTTCAGATGCTGGCAAGAGTTTGGGGAAATGGGTGCACTGCCGGAGTCTAAGTTGCACTTTGGGAGAGCAGTTTTCACTGCTGGAGTTGACCTTACTGAGCAGCCATGTTCATTACCATGTGCTGGATTACGCTTGCCAAACACTATAAGCCTGATAAGCTGAAGCAGGGTTGGTAGTAGCTGCACGTTTGATCGGATAGGCCTGGGGTGATTGTGACTCAATGACTCCTCCACTGTCCCAGCCACCAGTGATCCCAGGCCTTTGAGTAAATGCCTATCATTCTCAATGGGGCAAGGGCACCTCTAGGACTGGAGAGGCATTTAGTAGAGTGGATTAGGTGGTTCTAAAGAGACCGCAGGTGTAATGATCATTTTGCACGTTCTCTGTATAACTAGAGATACCGTCATCCTGAGTGCCACGGTATGCTAATGACTCAATGGTGGCCAGAGTAGAGAGTAGCATACTGAGTCTACTTCTCCACTCAAAGGAGGATGGGGCCAGCAGGTGGCATGGTGGTTAAGGGTGCTGGACTCCCACATGGCAGACCACGGTTCAAGTCCTGGACCTGGTGGCTTGGTTTCTCACTCTCCCCCCACCCCCTCAACATCCTGAGTGCCACGGTATGCTAATGACTCAATGGTGGCCAGAGTAGAGAGTAGCATACTGAGTCTACTTCTCCACTCAAAGGAGGATGGGGCCAGCAGGTGGCATGGTGGTTAAGGGTGCTGGACTCCCACATGGCAGACCACGGTTCAAGTCCTGGACCTGGTGGCTTGGTTTCTCACTCTCCCCCAACCCCCTCAATCTCTCTCTCTGGTCAAATTAAAGTAAATAAATAAATAAATGTAAGTAAAATAATTATTTAAAAGAAAAAAAAAAGGAGAGCTCATTGAATTCATTCTCTACATCTGCAATCCCACCACTGTCTCTGAGCAAGTCTCCTGGGTAACATGCCTTCCCTAGCAGCCTGATGTCACACCCTACTGCACTGGACAGATGGCTTTGACTTACAACTACACCTGACCCCCAGAGACTCTGCCACCTACGGAGGCCTTAAACTTCAGCTGAGCTTTGTTTTTCAACCCTCTATTCCCCAAATCACTGGAAGAGGGTATTCTAGCCCGGGGACCATGTGACACGATTGCAAACCACATGTTTCACTTGAACTGCACCAAACCTAGAAAACTTGTGTAGAG